CAATTGTTCTTGTATATCCAAACAACCGTCATGATCGGCCTTCATCCCATTTCATCCACTTTATACTTTGTGTATATCATCGCATCACAATATCCTTTCAATACTGCAGGATATCTTGTGAAATGTAATCCACAGGTCATGGTATATTTCAAATACCTAAGGACCCCTGTCAATGCATCCCAATAATCATGGCCTGGATTACTCGTGAATCTTCAAGTTTATTAATAGCAAAAGCATTATCCGGTCGAGTGCATTTTGTAATATACATTAGATTGCTAATTACTTTTGAATATCTCAGTTGTGACACGCTTTCACCCTTATTTTGACCAAGTGTAGACTTGTGTCAATACTTCAAATTTTTTAAATATTTTCTCAACAAATGAGATTGGGAAAGTACAATTCCTTCCGATGTTCTAGAAATTTTTATCTCTAGTATTACATCTGCCACACCCAAGTCTTTCATGTCGTAATGCTTCGTAAGCATTTTCATGGCGTTCAGCACCAATTCATAACTATTGCCCACCATCGGTATATTGACTACATACAAATTCATAGGCATCTGGTGTATTTTCCATGTATACACACTTGTCACATTTATTTATTTTGAACTCATTTAACAACATCGTTTTGTCAAACTTTTGGTGCCAGGAGCTTGTTTCAGTCCATATAAGGACTCAACATGTTTAAAAACTTTGTGGTTTTCGCTTGGAGACACCTTTAGGTTGCTCTATGTATATCTCTTCTTCTAACTCACCGTTTAGGAATCCCGTTTTCACATCCATTTGGTGAATCTCAAGTTTATGTATTGCTGCAGTTGCAATTAATAACCTTATCGAAGTGATTCTAGTCACGGGTGAGTAGTTAAAAAAGTAAAATCATTATTCCTGTCTATATCCTTTAGCAGATAATCTAGCCTTATATTTGTCAATGGATCCATCAGGTTTTAATCCATTTACACCCAAAGGCTTATTTTCGGGAGGTATATCTACCATTTCCCATGTATGAATTTGTATTATGAAATCTATCTCACTATTGATAGCTTCCTTCTAATGCGGTACTTCCAGAATAGACGTCGATTCTTCAGAAGTCTTTGGGTCATTTTCTACCATATATGTTGGAAATTTCGGGCCAAACGAAGTGGACGATCTAGCCCTCTTACTACGCCTTGGTTCCTCCTCATTTAAAGACTCATTTGTAGTTTCATATATTTCGTTATTCAACTTACGTTTCCTTATCTTTGCAAGAAAACACATTTTCAAAGAATATCACATGTACATCTGATTTGTGTACGAGGAAACGATATGCATTACTATTATTGACGTATCCAATAAATATGCAATCAATTGTTTTGGGACCAATCTTTATTTGTTTAGGTTTAAGAATCTCAACCTTTGTCAAACACTCCCACACTTTTAAGTGTTGATAGGAAGGAGGATGATATTTTCATAACTCATATGGAGTCTCTTCCATTTTCTTGAGAGGCACAGGAAAGTATATCTTTACAATAAGTTACCCCTCACAATTCCTAAATTAAGAATATATGTGCAAGTAGTAGTATTGCACCCTCATGTCTTGAACTTTTTACATAAGTTCTCAAGTATTTATGATAACCCCCACATTTTTGGGTTATTTTTAAACTTAGAGTTTATCAACTCTTTCATAGTTCAATCATTCATCACTTAGATAACCTCCGGATCGAGTGCTTCTTGAAAGTCCGAGTACTTTCAAAATAGTGGTCGTTGATTAACATAAATGCAAATCATTTTCCATTCAAAATTGCACTTCAATCAACTTATTAATTTGACAATCCAAATTAAATCAAGGTCATTACATAGACCAATAACGCTTTCAAAGCATATACCAATTTAATTGGTTCTACGATTGAGGCATCTTCAGATATGTGCAATTTTCACATTTGTGACATTTCACAAATAATATTATTCACGTGCAATAATAAGGCATATTCTCACCTTATTCTTTATATTCACATTTGAAAGAATAAATCAACAATAGATTAACAAGTTGTGCTTTCAAAGTTACCACCTTACAAAAGGACACCTCTTGGAATTAATCCTAGAATATTTCATAATATTCTTCACAATTTTTTTCTCTCCATAAGATAGTTTTATCCTTTACAAATGAAAGTTAATTTACAATCATTATTTTTAAAGATATCCATCACCACTGCCAACTATAGACACAATTTGTGCTCTATAAACTATTTTTATATCTCAATAATTGGACAAGCAATTTTCACTTTAAAATAATTAGAACAAAACCAAATTTTGTCGTACTTTTATACAACTATAATTTTGCATAAGTTATCTCATTTAATTTCATAAAATTATTGAGGCTATCATCATTAATCAAGGTTTGTATAATTTTCAAACCAAAATCCATGGACATATATCGGATTTACAACTTCATACCATATATGTCACTTACCGGATTGACGCATACCGTATATGCAATTTACCGTATATGCGACCTACCGTATATGCGACTTATCGTATATGCCGCTTACCGTATATGCGACCTACCATATTTGCATCTTACTGTATTTGTCAGCCTACCATATTTACAACTTACTGTATATGCATATACCGAATTTGCATATGCCAACCAAAAGCCTATCCGAAATCCAAACTCTTGTATGGATTCACTATTTGGAATTCACGTTTATACAAATGACATAATAATGACGCATTCCATATCCGCTTTTGTATTTTATTCCAATGAAAAATTAGCGATACAATTCTTTAAGGAATTTACTATCAAATAAAATTGTCAATTCATGATTTCCAATCAAAAGCCACCACAAACTATTTTCATTGCATTTAACATGAAAATCTTATTATTCCAATTTCCTGATTCAACATGCAAAGATACTCAAAACAATTAAAGAAATTATAATAAAATTCCTTAGACAACTTATGGCACAAGTTCTTTTAATATAGGCACACCCTTTGGATTAAGATCACTAGCAAATAAAACTGTCAAATCAACAAATTAAATGGTGTTTGGTTAAAACAGATTTCATCCATTAGCCATACCATTCAATTACAGTAACCTCATCTACCACTCAATTATACAAATCCATATAAAACATGTCTGTTATTTTTTGCATTAGCATTATAACAGTCGACTACTTTAAATTAAGGCAGTTTCAAAATTTTCAAAGAGACATCAAAACATATCCCCAACACATGCAATAAAGGATCCTTTCATACTATTGACAACTATGGACGTTTCAAATGTACGTGCACAACCATATTCATTAAAATGACAGCATCAACCCATGAACATTAACCAATATTAATTTGTATCAATAAACAATTATGCACAATCATAAATGTTCAGAGTATGGCCAAAGTCACCGATTCAATTGTCTATGTATGCATTTAATATATACCATTCAACCATGGCAACAATTGAAAAAGATACACAGTAGTGCATGAGATTGTTATTATCTTCAACAAAACACGTGCATTAATTACACAATAGCAGTTGGCAGAACATACAAATTCTTTCCAATCAGAACATATTCAATGTTATTTTGACGAAAATGAAATTACTGATATATTTAATATAACGTAAAGCATCATATAAAATGTACAAGACACCACTAAATTCACAATTTGTCATCTTAAGCACGTACAAAACTGTTCCATTGTGAAATCGAGGTGGTTACAGAAACTTAAACGCTAATAGACACATTATTCCATAATAATTCAGCAAGGTATTCCAGTTGTTCACATGGGTCAGCAGAAATTGTTCTTACCCAAATTAATTTTGATTTAAAATTTTAGTACAGTTTTTCAATCCGAAGAATATATATGCATGCACCTCATGATGAACCAATGAACTCATTTACTCGCTGTAATTAACCTTATGGCCCAAACAACTTTTGACATTGGACAAACACTCATACGACGGAGAAGGTGCTAGAAATAAATTTTCAATTTCGGCAAACGAAATTTCTTTGAACATGAATATAGGATGTACGAAAATATAGAATTCATCTTAAGATTATTGAAAAATTACACTGATATTATGCATATTATATTCACAAAATCATGTCATTTATTTGCGTAAAGTCAAAATGCAATTTCGACTTACAGAGATAGGATTTGAGAAGACAAAATAAGAATTTATTGAATCCGAATACCTGAATATGGATTCTTCCCTTTCAACTCATGATCGAAAGTGAATAATTCTTTGGATCAAACCTTGTAGGATAAACATATAAATAACGTTAATCATTTTCTGAAATCAAATTATAATAAAAGGAATCAGAAAATGAAGAAAGAAGATGCAAATGACGGATTTTTGATCGAGGCAAGTGTTGGACACTTTGTCCTTAAGATGAATTTGCCCCGCATCGGTGCTAACGGTTCTCTGGCAATTATCTCCCAAGATACAACGACCACATCGAGCCATAGGAGTACTCTAAATGACTTTGACCAGCAAACTCGAACGGAATTCCCTCCCTACCGTGACCATAACCATGACTTTTATACAAATGTTTTATGCAAAACCAAAGTGTAAATTTGAATGAAATGATATGGTATCTATGACATTTTCTTGAATGAATAAAATTCGAACACATGGGGTCTATATATATAGTAGTTGGAAAGGTATGTCAAAAGACACAGCTATACCAAAAGACACATCTCTTGAAATTTATAATTATCGGACATTAATCATACTCATACCAAGATTCATGATCTTTCATACGAAAAGCCACGTTTTTTCCTTCATATATTTCTAGAATATTCCACAATATTCTATACGATTTTTCCAATAATTTTCAATATTGAAGTGGTTTACATTTGACTTAATTTCTCATTCATCAAATAACGAATTCCACTTAAATAATCATTTAAAATTGGTCACAACCAATTTTCGAAAAAAAAAAATCCAACAAATAGGAGGGGCCGACTGGTCTACATGAAATTTTACACTGCTTTTTTATTAGGGTGTGTAGGCGTACACATATCTTAGGCAAAGAAAAGTACAATATTCATAAATCAACTATAATAGATATCCAGTGTCAAAATGAAGCAGGAGAAATCAAGAAGCAACATGACTTTCACCAAAATTTCAACAGGGAGTTGCATGTTAGCTTTCTTTAGTTAAAGAATAAAGAATAAAGAATAAGCTAAGCTAAAAACAAGCTCTATATACACATGGCACCGCAAACTCATTTACATCTTGTAATCCTCATGTAAATAGCTTTCATAACGTGTTCCTTTGAGCGTCTTCTCAACGTCCACCCAATTTTCGACCTGTGACGATAAGGACCCACGGTGTATCTTCACCTGACGACTATTCAGGTCCCTTCGTGGAACCTTTAGAAAATCTTGGACGTCCATCAATTTCTGAAGAGCGAGAGACAAAAAATTGTGGACATAAGTACAAAAAATTTGATGCATTATTTTTCTGCCGCGAGATATTATATATGTCTTACCGTTGCGTTCTTTACTATATCCTCGTAGTAAAGAAAAATATGTCGAGTGCTCTTGAAATATTCTAAAGATTTAGTAACCATGTCGTCCACTTGCCTCAGATTGGGTATCAGCAATGTTGTATTGAGTGTAGGTTTGTATCTAGCAAGTATCTCGGCCTGCAAGAAGAAAGTGTAGTCTAGTTTTTAAAGACAAAACACACACGCTTCTTCTTTTTCACATATATGTGGAAGCGGGTTATATGGGGACAAAGAGCCACAAAGAGAGTACAGCATGAGAGATAAGGACCTCGTGGGTCGAATGAACATGAGATTTGTGGGTCCCGTTCAGCAGTTTAGCATTCTGATCATAGGAATTAGCAAGTATCGAAATCATCCGGCGCAAAAGATTTCTTCTGAAGAGAAAAATTGCTGAAACTCCTTTAGCATTGAAGTATTTCACTATTTCTTCATGATTCTGCATTAAGCCCTGCAACATATTCAGTAAAAGTTAACGAATATCTTGGCTGTTCATTGAAGTATTTCACTATTTCTTCATGATTCTGCATTAATCCCAGCAACATATTCAGTAAACGTTAAGGAATATCTTAGCTGTTCATTCATATATACCGAGCAAGATCCTTGTGATTTTTACAGTTGGGGAGTTCAATACATTGTAAACCAAGAATTAAAGTGGGATCAAGGGGCTGGAAAAATGTGGATGCCCAATAATCATTTCTTTCAAGAAAAAAAGGATTAATTATGCGGCCACAAGAAATTTTCTCCCCCATACCATATATAATCATAGATCACATTACATACAATCTGCTAGGGAACATGTAGCTACCTACCAATAGTGAAAAATATGCTATCCAAAACCAATAGATTCCACAGATAACTAAGCCAACAATTTAGCTCAGTTAATTAACATGGATGATAAAGGTTTGGAAATTTTTAGCATGTTCTATGATATTTGCAGATTTTTAAATTGCAGCCATATCACACTAAAATAAATAAAGAAATAAGTATGCAATCAAGCTTTTAAGAATACATACAAGTTCGTTTGATTTATATGTGAGTATGAATCGTAATAATGTTTACATCTATTAGATTGGCTTGTCCTTATTGCAAAGTATGTCATTGAATCCCAATCTCTAGTTATCAGACAGAAGTAACGTAAAAAAGATAGCTACATATTCATACTAAAACATAAGACATTTCTGTAAATAAAATTTAGTGGAATGCAATTATTGCATTTAAGCACACTATCACCTGAATAGATGTTTATTTTAGATGACAGAAGTTGCAAAAGATGGCAATCACCTGATTAAGCATCCATTTCAATCCAATAGCAGCTGTACACTCATTCTTGGAAGCACTCGTAAACCAGTCCAGATTATAGATTTTATCCAATGTTCCCACAATTGTCGATATATTACTCCTCCGAACCTTAACTGAGAATATTTCACCATTGGAGCTTATGTTAATATGACTGTTCAACAATGTCTCAAACCATCCACTCCCAGACCTCTGAGTGGACAAAATAGCAAAATATCTCACAGGATTGCATGCACACTCAGACCTAATTACCACCAAATGCAACTCAGTAAATTCAACAATGACTTGCAACTGACCATTAGAAAGGAGATATGTACAATGTCTAACCTGCTGAAAGTCTTGGGCTTGGGAAAGTGAACATAAGTTTTTTCTGAAGGTTCAACATTAGGCGCTTCACACGGTCTCTCACCCACTTGAACTTTTAATAGATGTTCACTGGAGTGTGCACTGTATTGCCTTAAACAAACTGAACATATATAAACCCCGCACACCATCACAAACATGAAAACCACCATTCTCAACGCCAGGGGATTTTTCTTCGGATTTTTCATAATCAAGCTATCCTGAAACTTGAACAAATACAATGAAGTCAAGAAAAATTCGTCCAACATAAATTTCCCCACAGCTCACCTCCATTTAAAACAATAACAAAATATTCAGTCTCACTGAGCTTGAAATATTAATCGGGTATCAACAAAAATTTCTAAAAGGGTAGAGGCATTTAATCAAATTTCTGAAACAAGGGCTTGAATTTGATCTTTAAACTCCCTTCAAACGGCAGTGATATAAATAAAATTAGTTTTAAAAAATTTAATGACGACAAGCCCATCAAAGATGTGAGACAAACTCAATGAATCAAGGGTAGCTTCAATTTGAATGTGTGGGCATTAGAACAACTCAGATTATAAGCTAATGAGTATATATATTTGATTATTCAGGTGCCCAGGTCAAGAAAACACAAAATAATCAAAACGAAACGAAAAAGAGTAGAATCTTAAAACTAAAATGATATTCCCATATCTCTCCTTATTGAGGATACATATAATCAAAACAAGCTAATACATAGAAATAGACGTACCTTAAAGAATAAACAGAGACCATCAGCCATATTTTTTTCCCTTTTTGCACAAAAATGGCAGCTCAGATTCAAATTTTCTTTACCCTTTTCTTTTTAGCTTTATTCATCATACACCTTTTCTTTCTCTGAACATGCACTAATCATATAATATATATGCATCTATAGAGTGAGAGAAAAATATATAAAATATATAAAAGTGAGCTTTTTCTCGTGAAGAACAGGATAATGAAATCAACAGTCGTCACGCTCCTTTTTTCGTTGTTTTGCTTCTAAGATTTTCCTTCAGATTTACACTCCTCTCTCTCTCTCTCTCTCTCGACTAATTCGCATTCCGTTTGAGAGAGTTTCAGTATAATGTGGGTTCTGATGTGGACGGATCCGAATCCAGTCGTCGGATATGCAAATACGAACGCGGACAAACGTAAACGACATCGTTGTAAGAGTTGATTTGGTCCAACGTTGAATTCGAAAACCTCAAGTTTCTATCGATACATTCGAATAGGATTAAATTATGAGTAAATTGCAAAATTGGTCCCTGACCTTTGTCCAAAGTAGTGACTCTGACCCAACTACATTTTTATCTAGTTTTTATCGTCCATCTTGCATAAATTAGCCGAGTGGTACCAACCCACGTTCGTCAAAATATTTGTCACTCGCCGCCCCTGACTCATTACGCAAATATTTATCAATGCTTATAATTGATTATAATTAAGTTAAATTTTATTTTTATTTACATATTCCGTAAGTAACACAACTTTTACTATTAAGTATTAACCGCTCATTACTTGGGATATGCTACTTATAATCAACAATAAAAATTGGCAAACGTAAATAAACAAGTACGAAAACCCAATAATTTAGCAAAACCAAGATAGGAGTAGGAAGACTAAGGATGTCAACGAGTCGAGCTGGCAAAAGCTCGGTCAAAAAATAAAGACTCGACTCGAGCTTTCGGCTCGGGCTTTACCAAGCCGAGCTCGATTTCTGAATTTTTTTTTCTATACCTATTGCTGCCTGTTTGGCAGCTTATTCTAGCCGCCAAACAGGCAACTTGTTATAGCTGCCTTAACCAGCAGCTAAATAGGCAGCAGATTTTAACTTCTTTTTTTTAATAAAATAATACGGGCCGGCTCGGATCGAGCCAACCCTCAGAAATGAGATTCGGCCCGAGCTTTGACTCAGTGCCTCCGAGCCTCGAGCCGAGCTACGAGCGGTTCGAGCCGATGAGCCCGACTGCCATACTTAGTCTGGAAGACCATGAGGGTGAAGTTATTTTCCCAAGCCTCAAAGAAAAGCCTAGCCAAAGTAGAGGTACTTATGGCAGGATAGGCTGATCAAAGAAGCGTAGAGGTACTCAAATTGGATCAGTGATCGATTTTTAGGCGTCGTTGTAAACCTAATTAGTTACTTCCAATCACGTAAATCACTACTTCAAATTGCACTCAAAGCAGCACAAATGATGTACCCTAGAATCTTAGATGGTGAAAGTCCAGTAGCTGGTAGCATCACTAACTTGCGTTCTGATTCAAGTAGCATGATACACGTGGAATTTCGTATGAATCACCAAGGACCCGCATCTAAAGAATTTTCCTCCAATTCCAAAATGGATGGACCCAACATGCCATCGTAGTGTCAGAGCATTCACACACACCAGAATGATGAGTTATAGTTAGGGATGACAATCATGATCGTTGGCTCGAGCCGCCCGTGGCTCGACCCGAAAAAAGCTCGAGCTAACCCGGCTCGAGGCTTGAGCCGAGCCCCAGTCTAGGTTCCCAAGCCAACTCATATGGCTTGAGGGCTTGACTTGCTGGCCTTTATATATATATATATATAATATAGCAGCAGGTTGTTGCCTTTTTGCTGAAAATAAGGCAGCAAGCCTACGGCCTTAAATAACGCAGCAGTTTGCTACCTAAAAAAGGTAGTAACCTGCTGCCATTTTTCTAAGCCAGCAGGCTACTATCTATATATTAATAAATAAATAAATAAAAAGAGCAAAAGAAAAAAAAAGCAAGCTTGCTCGACCGGCTCGGCTTAGAAAAGCTCAAGGCCTAATTTTTTTGGTCGAGCTTTTGTTTGACTCGGCTCAAGCTTGAAAAAAAAGCTCGGATATTTTATCTGAGTCAAGCTCGAGCCTAAAATTTTGACTCGCGAGCCGACTCGACTTGACTCGTTGACATCCCTAATTATAGTCTAGAATGGTTTCAAATTTTGACCTAAATAATGCCTTTTTTGACACAACAGTTAATGTGGTAGTTTAAGAAATGTTTTTCAAACACCTAACAAGTCTAATTTGCTTTATAGGTGTTGATAAAGTTTGGAAATTAATACACACAACTTTCAACGATGGATTAAAAGTTTCTAGATACAAATACATCTTGGTCACTTTGGTGATGTGAAATTGAACACCACCAAAGCTTGTCTTACTGGATCCATAGACTAGGTTGGGCCATTACTTTGTTTGTCTTGCACGTTCTGATTGTAGGTGTTTTTCGAGAACGATCCTTGTCAAATCCAAACCATAATAGCACACGAATAGTGATCGTATGTAACTTGAAAATTAAAATGCAATAATAACAGTCATACAGAATATGATGGAGAGATACTCGGATAGCATGACTAGGTAGTGTGGCAATCGAATGGAAAGCCGTCACCTCATTGAATGGCCCAGCTGTTAGGTTTTTTCTAATCCAAATTACGTTGAATTTTGAAGAAATTACTTTTTCCTTCTTTCCACGTATTTTTATTGGGAAAATATTATTTCTCATATTCCACATGATTTTTATCTTGTTTCCATCTTTGTAGTACTTTTAGAGTTTGTCATGCACCCCTATAAATATTATTCTTTTCACAAGTTTTGTATCACTAAAGTATAGAATAATTGTGTAGGCACAGTGATTGTATTTGTTTTTTCCATATTCGTCAATCGAATAAAATTCTCCGTTTCTTTGGCAATTAATTCCTTGCCTTTTATCTTGTTAGTTGTTTGCAATCATATACTTCATATCATGTTATATTTATCACCTCGATTCGCTTTATTTCCCAATAAGTGGTATCATAGTTATTGGTTTGATTTGTCTGAGGTTTTGTTATTGATGATAACCATGAAATATGAAATTTCGTTCTTGGATTGCAATACAAAAGTTTCATTGTGGCAAGTGAAGATGCAAGTTGTACTCGCATAGTTGAATTTGGATGATGCGTTATTGAGATTTGATAAAATGTCTACAACTTGAACGACGAAAGAGAAACAAAGGAAGGATCGAGAATTATTTTCACGAATCCATCTTCATCTCTTTAACAATAATCTTCAGAACATTTTAAAGGAGAAAACGACAGCTGCGTTGTGGTTGAAGTTAAAGTAATTGGGCATAATTAAAAGTCTGGTAAACAAATTACATCTGAAACAGATGTTGTATATTCATTGTATGGCAGAAAGTGGATCTTTGAAAGAACTGTGTTTAATTAGATCATCATTGATTTGGAGACTTTAAGGATAAAGTATGATGATGATGATTTGTCATTAATCCTTTTATGTTCGCTACCCACTTTGTTTAATTCGTTTAGAGATACGATCTTATATAGTCGTGATACTTTTACTATTGAAGATGTGTATGATGCTTTGTTTTCAAATGAGAAGATGAAGCATCTGGTTGGATTGAGGCCGGAGAAGGCCTTATTGTCCATGGTGATCGAAGAAGAGATAAGTCGAGATCAAATTTTCAGCAATCAGGTTTGTTATTATTGCAAGAAGAAATGACACATTAAGAGGGATTGCATCAAATTGTAGAACAAATGTAATTTGACTATAAATCTTGATAAGCATAGCTGAGAACTTTTGAGCTGTAGAGATGCTTTGACAATTTCTATAATAGAATCGAAACCTGATGAGGAGTACATTCCATATGTGTCCCAAACGAAATTTGTTTGAAACATATGAAACGGTGATGCAAGATGTTGTTGTCATGGGTAACAATGAACCATGTTGAGAAATTTATATTGATAGAGTCGAATTGGAGTTAGTGGAAAGAACATGTAGAACACTTGATCATGTTCTATATATTTCAGACTTGAAAAAAAGTTTCATTTCTTTGAGTACTCTTGATTCAAAATAGTACATATTCTCTGGAAAATGTAGAGTCTTGACGGTTTGGAAAAGCATTCGTGTTGTACTGGAACGGTGTTCGAGTTCTATGCTAACAATGAATCTACACTGATGAAAGAAGTCATTTGGTTCAACAACATAAGAGCATTAGAGATCGTGGGATGAGGCAAATAGAAAGCATGGTTTTTCCCTTTCACCTCAACAACATTTGATTCACGCTTCCAACCACTCTTAACAATAATTAATGATAATAATGTTCTCTGTCTTTCAAAAAGTCAAGCTCAGCAAAATAAAAAATAAAAATCAACAAATTTTCGCAATCAAAATTTGAAAGATTCGGATCCATAGCCGGGTTCATCTTCGAGTCCTCCATTCCTGTGGTATTTGGATATATTTTCTGTAAGTATTATGCCCTAGGTCCAATCGACTTTGGACATAAATACTTTTATATATAATTAATGCAATTAAATGGCAGATCTATTATTTAATTAATAGACAATTAAATAAATAATAGAGTCCGTAAATTCAAATATTTTAATTTATTAATCACAAGGAGTTGTGATTGTGAGATACAAATTACATCTGATTCAATCTTAAATCATCCGTGGTCGTAAGTAATAACGAGATACGGATATCGTTATTACGGATAGA